GATATATTTTGAAAGTATTTTATATTTGTTTAAAAAAGAAAATAGTGTAAATTGCAAATAAAACTTATGTATTGAATGTTATATTATAAAAAAATAAATAAATAAATATGCACTTTTAAGTAAAATTGAAAAGTTTGTTATGGAAAATACTTTTATGAATAGTATAAAAATCAAATCAAATATATATATGGGAAAATTAAAAAAAATGTCTTGTACGTAAGTTCAATTATCATTTTCGAATATATATTTTTTTTACTTGAGCAATTTAGGACATTATGTGTACTTCGAACATTATTTTTACTCTCCGGCGACGGGAAAACGCATGTGACCGTCACGTGCGCCTTCGTGGCATGGCTGGCGCATACGTGGACGCGCCGTTGCTGTGTTACCGTCCGCGTGGTCGTTGGACAGGTGACGTGAAATCATTTTTTTTTACTTTCGTAAATTAGGACATTATGCGTACTTTAAATATTATTTTTGTCCTCTGGTTGCAAAAAAATATATACGATAGAAATTAATGATTATATGTGAAGATAACAAAAAATAAATAAATAAGGGTATTGTAGGAATTTTAAGTGAATAAGGAGTAAAAAAGAAGAATTTAGTCTATATGGAGTAAATAGGAAATTGAATTTAGAATTAGGGAGTTTAATTGAAGTTACCCTTAATTATTTTTACTAATACATTTTTAATTATCTACTAATTATACTTATTCTAAATTTCGTGTCTACAATGACCAAGACACCCAATGTGGGACGGAGGTAGTATTATTCTTTAATTTCCTTGTCAACTCCTAACAAGAGATCTCTTCTGGGACGGATGGAGTATATATAAGGTGTATTTATTCATTGGATTTTGGTTTTGAATTTTAGTTTGAATAGTAAAATTTTGAATTAGAATAGTTGTTTGGTATGATATAAATATATATTGATGTGATATTTTAAATATAAAAATAAATTTTAATATAATATAATAAGTGAAAAATGGATGTTTGATTTTATATTTTTTTTAGAATTTCTTTTTTGGAATAGTACAATCATATCTAAAATCCCACAAGTAAACACATATTTTTTCCTCTCACAACACATCTTATCAAATACTTCATCCGTCCTACTTCTCATATCCACCTTTCCATTTTTGTTCGTCCCACTTATTTTTGTCACTTTCCTTTTTTGAAAAATAATTATACACTTTAATCTTATTTTTAAAAATTTAATTTATAATTATTTTTATTATACAATAATTATTTTTCACTAATACATTTTTAATTATTTACTAATTATACCCCTTCTAAATTCCCGTGTCTACAGTAACACAGACAAAATATCCGGGACGGAGGGAGTATTATTTTAATACGAAACTCTAACCAAATTTTTCCAAACACTCTTACCAAAGAATAATCATAAAGAAATTTTCAGTCGATTGGGGATATGAAATGACTAATGGACCTAATTTTGTAACGAATACATCGATAAATAGTAAAACTTATAATTATTGATCAACTTGTACAATTTCAAAGAAAGTTAATCGATAAACATGAAATAGAAGAAAATAATGGAACATTGGGAAAGCGAACATAAGTTAATAATATGTCGCTTAAGTTAAAAATATCTAATAAAGACTTAGAATATATATATATATATATATAGAGAATATTGTAAAAAATATTCCACACGTATACTCTATTATCACTTTTGTCATATATTTATCTTGTTGGCAAAATATATCCCACATGTTTATAAAAATCGCTATTTCTATCCTTTGGCCGCACGTGGTGTGAATTTCACGCGTGGGCAAATGACATGAATAACGACTTTTGTAAATATATGGGATATATTTTACTAGGGAGATAAATACATGACAAAAGTGATAAAAATGATAATAGGGTACAAGTGAGATATTTTTTGCAATATTCTCTATATATATCTATATATATATATGTATATACTGTGTGTCTGATACAAAATCCTTTTAAGAAAAAGGTGGGACATGTTCATTGACAAGTTTTCAAGCATAATGAACAAGACGACACCAACATTTTAAAATTAAATTGTTTATAATTACAAAAGATGGATGATCAATTATATTCCCCCTGTACCGTGTAATATGAGTATTTTACTGTATATTCGAGAATTTAGGTAAAATATAATTAGTAAGTAATTAAGAAATATATTAGTAAAAATAATTATTATTTAGTAAAAATAATTATAGATTAAGATTAAGATAAATAAATAGTTTAATTAAAATTAAAAAAATTATAAAATTTAAAATTTAAAATGCGATTAAAGTGCATAATTATATTTCCAAAAATAGAAAGGACAAGTTATGTGGGACGGACGAAAATAGAAAATAGGGACAAATTATGTGGAACGGAGAGAGTAGTACCTGAATATTTCAACATAAAAAATTTAAAAAAAAATAAAAAATAAGAGCATCGGGAAAAATAAATAAGTAAATTATTATACTATGATATTCTATTAAAATTTAGGTGAAGCTGTACAAAACTTATACTCTCTATGTCCCATAACTAGCTATCCGTTTGTTTTTTGTACGGAGTTTTAGAAATATTAATATTATATTTGAATTTAGTAGGAATAAAGTAAAAATTACTAAAATAACCTTATTAGTGTTGTGTGATATAAATGTAATGACATATGTGTAATATATTGTAAGTTGTAAGGGTATTTGTAATATTAAGTATATAATACAATTACTAAAAAAAAAGAAATGAATACTTTGTTATGAGATGGACTAAAATGGAAAAAAATAGATAATTTCTTATGAGACGGAGGGAGTATATAATTTCATAAAATTCCGTCAAATTTTTATATTTTCAAAATTGTGTCAAATTTCATAATAGTTTCATAAATTTGGCGTTTAGTTCCCTCGGCCGCCCTTATTCAACAATATTTGATTTACACGAGTCCAAATAGCGAATGAATTTTATAATTTTTATTTATAAAACTTTGAAATTACAAATATATTTATTTTTACTTATATTTAATTTAAATGAACAATAGAAAAAATCTTAAAAGTAAAACAACTAATTCTAAAAATAATTACTCATTCGCAATTTGAGCAAAGGCAAGTCAAATACAATTAAATAAGAATGGTCGAGGACATTAGACGTAAAATCTCAGGGAGTCTAAAGTAGTTTTTGTAAGTATAAGAAATTTTGTGCAATTTTATAAAATTACGAATGAATTTTGTGCAGTTTTATCTTTAATTTAAAATAATTTGTTTTGAGTTTGGATTGTATTTGAAAGTTTAAGTTTTTAATTTCAAATAGTATTTGATATAATATTTTGTAAATAAAAAAAAAAAAAAAAAAAAAAAAGAAGAAATGTACAACTAAATAGTAAATATTAAATAAATTTTCAAAACAAACACAGCAGAATTTAGTTGGGGCTATATAAAAGTTGGAAGAAGAATCATTAACGAGGTAGAAGCTTCGTCTAGATAGATTTCTTTTTTTTTTTTTTTTTTTGGAAAATCTTGAGAATATTAAAAGGATTTATATTTAATGTGATATTTTATAATAATAATAATAATAATAATTAAATTAATATAATATAAAACTTTCAAATCTATATATATTCAATTGAAGTTCATAACAATACATACAAATATCGATGATTCTAGAAGAATGGCATTAATTTGCAAGCTACTAGCAAGAAAGGGTTGCGCAACCTCTACTATTAGAGAGTTTAGTTATCACAAGTAAATTCATTACTCCCTCCGTCCAATTTCTATTGTCCTCAAGTATATTTGCACGATTTTTTAGGTTATTATTTTTTATTATGAATTGACAAATTTATCCATAATTGTACGATAGAAATTAAAAGTAATAAATGAATGAATGGTAAAAATGTAAAATTTGTGTTTAAAAAAAATAGGACAATAGTTATTGGACGTCCCAAATAAAAAAGTAGAACATTAATTTGTGGAACGAGGGAGTATTATTTTTTAAAAATTATTATTATTATTATTATTATTTTCTCCATTCTAAAAAATTTGTAAATTTTAGTGTAGATAAGGAAATTTTAAAAAAGTATAATTAGTAGTATTTATAAAATGTATTAGTATAAATAATTATAGTATAACAAAAGTAATTATAAATTAAAACTAATATGACTAAATAATTTAATTAAAATAAAAAAATTATAAATTATAAAATTATAAATAAAATAAAATTATATAATATTTTTCAGAAAAAAAAATATATATATAAAGCAAACGGAAAAAAAAACAAATGAACATAACATTGGACGTAGGAAGTATTAGTGTATAATTTGAAAGTTACTGCATTAGGCATTACTAAACACATTCCAGAGTAGGACGATTAAGAATGAATCAAATATAAATTGATATTTTTAAATTGAATGTGTTTAAAATCAATAAATTTATCAAAAATATAAATAGATCATTTTTTTAAGACAAAAATAATTATGTATGACGAGATAAAGAGTATTATTATTTACTCAATTCGTTTCAAAATAATTGTCCGATTTTGTCATCGTCTATTTTAAAACAATAATTTTATTTTTATTTTTTAACCAACTCCTCACTTTTTTACCAAATTATTCACATATTCTCATAATAATTAAATAAAATATGGCATTTTAGTATTTTAAAAATATTTTATATTCACTATTAATATAATATTATTATTTTTCAATATCAATCCCAAATATGGATATTATTTTTGGACGAAAATAGTATAACAATATTTACATTTTAACACATCTCAGTCAAAAACAGGCAGTGGATAAAGATTAAAGGCTGTCCTGTTTTGAATTTGCAGTAAATGCCAAGGTAAAGGTTAGTTTTCATGGCTGCTTTTAATTTCTCCTTTTTCCTTTTTATTTATTTATTTGTATTTTAACAGCCACTTGCTAGGCTACTACTGTTCCTGGATTTAGTGGAGCAGAACCCTAACATTGAAGCTAGCTAGCTACGCCTGCGAGTGGGACTGACTCACTGGTGGGTCTTCTACGTGCCCAATTCAATTGAATTTAATCGATTTCTAACCCTGGTCAGGTCAGTCTTCGCCCCTGCTTTAACCATGGTTGCCATTTCAGTTTTATATTGGACGCCAAGCATGCATTTCAATGGCGACCATGACAGACAGTCCCACTCCCACTCCCACTCCCACTGCTCTCACAGAATTTAAAGATCTTTTTCCTGATTTATAGAGAAATTTTAAAATGATGATGATGATGATCGAAGATCCGCCGGGGGCAAATCCGACCGTTCAAATCCCGCCTTGGGATTGCAGCCCAGATCTGACGGCGCACATTAACTCTCTGCACCGCTATTTGCCGTCCAACCAAGACGACGTCGTTGTGGACGCCGCCGGGGACGGCGACGACGACTCCGACGACTTTGACGTTCCGGTGGACGCCTACTCCTGCGACGATTTCAGGATGTTCGAGTTTAAGGTGAAGAAGTGCGCACGTGCGAGGTCACATGACTGGACGGAGTGCCCGTTTGCTCACCCCGGTGAGAAGGCTCGCCGGCGGGATCCCCGGAAGTACCATTATTCCGGCAGCGCGTGCCCGGACTTCCGTAAAGGCGCGTGCCGGCGCGGGGAAGGGTGTGAGTACGCGCACGGCGTATTCGAGTGCTGGCTCCACCCGGCGCGCTATCGTACGCAGCCCTGCAAGGACGGCACCCACTGCCGCCGGCGCGTGTGCTTCTTCGCCCATACGCCGGAGCAGCTCCGTGTGCTGCCGTACACCGCCGCCGGCAGCCCCGACGCCGGCCACGACCCGACCCTCGCGTTATTCGGATCTTCCCCGAGATCGTCGTTCTACTCTCCCCCGTCCTCTCCGGCGGCGACCAACTCCCCGCCGGTGTCCCCCGGCGACTCGCCGAGTCTGAGTCGACTCACTGAGTCGCTCCGCGAGTTGCAGCTGAGCAAGATGAAGATGGGGATGGGCCTAAGCCCAGGCGGGTTAGGGTTAGGGTTAGGGTTACGATCGCCCCGAGGGCCGTCGACCGGCCGACCTGGATTCATGAGCCTGCCGTCGACTCCGGTCCGGTCTGTGAACCGGTCCGGTCTAAACCCGTTCGACGCATGGGAGGTGTCGTTCTGCGAGGAGGAGCCGGCGATGGAGAGGGTGGAGTCCGGCAGAGCTCTGCGGGAGAGAATCTACGCAAAACTCGGTCGAGAGAACTCGCTCGACCGGGTCGGCCGGTCCGACACTCCGGGTTCGGCTGCGGCTCAAGCTCCCGATTTCGGGTGGGTTTCCGAACTGGTTAAATGAAATGAACCGATCCGGCAGCTCGGCAAGTATTCCGACCGGCCCGGTTCGAATAAAAACCCGATTCGTTGTCATCTTCTTCCCAATACACTTTTCCTTTTTATTCTCACTGATTGAAGAAATATTATAAATATATATATGTAATTATTATTAATTGTGTGTAAATATGGTTGGGTTGGTGCAGGTCAGAGTGCAATTTTTGTATGTGGATGAGAAATTGTGAATTCTGTGTAGGAATTTTATTGCATTTGCTGCATATTGAAAGAATGGAATTTGATTAAGCCTTGTTTAATTTCTTTTGTTTTAGATGTTTTTATTATAAAGTATGAAGGCATTGTGAAAGTATATATAAAATGATGTTTTGTGTTTTTATTTGATTTTAATATAGTTTATTTTGTTAATCTTTTGATATTATATGCATTTATTTATGGAGTATTGTTCATAAAAATTATAAAAATATTTTCTACTTAGCATCTTATAATTTAAATATAAAAATACTTTTGCAAAAAATAATATAAATATAACAATATTTTTAATGTTAAATAAAAGCTAAATATAATGTATATTTTACTAGTTCATAAAAATTAACAAATTTGAACAAAATTCAGAAGTGGACCAAAATTTTTTTTTTTTATTTATGTTAAAAAAAATAAATTAATGCTATATTTTAATGTAAAATGTTAGTTTAGAAGTTACCCTTTTCGTCTCACATATCATGTCTATATTGCTGTTTCTGTCCGTCTCACAAGCCATGTCATTTTTATTTTTTGGAAAATGATTATATACTTTAATCTTATTTTAAAATTTTTAATTTATCTTTTTAATTTTAATTAAACTAATTAGTTATTTTAATCTTAATTTATAATTATTTATATTATAAGATAATTATTTTCACTAATATATTCTTAATTATATACTAATTACACTCCTCCTAAAATACCGTATCTACATTATAGCAGACACAGTATGTGCGACGAAGGTAGTGTTAAAAAGTATATTTTTCATATAAAAAATCATAAAGATTATATAAGAAATAACTCAAACATAATAGTACATGTTCTTACATTCATATCGTACCCACATATTAAAAATATACTAAATGAGATTATGAAAGTTGATACTTAACAATAAATTATATACATGCAAATAACATCTTTAATCATTATTCACACCAATACTGTTATATTATTTAATTTTAAATACTCAAATCATTTTTATTTTTATTTTTTTTTAAAAAAAGTATCATAAAATTACTATCTCCGATCCCAAGAAACTTTAAGCCAAAAATTAGTAAGAAAAGTGGTCCAACACATAAAGTAATTAATAGCTTAAGTGGAGATTACAATGATTATTAGAATTTAATAGTTAGGTTAATAATATAAAGTATATATGGTGTGTTTGGTTCACAATTGCATAATAACGTGAAAAAAAAGTTACTCCCTCCGTCCCACATAATTTGTCTCTATTTTTTATTTTCGTCCGTCCCACATAATTTGTCCATTCTTTTTTTGGAAATATAATTATACACTTTAATGTCATTTTAAATTTTAAATTTTATAATTTTTTTAATCTAAATTAAACTATTTAGTTATTTTAATCTTAATCCACAATTATTTTTATTATACGATAATTATTTTTACTAATACACCTCTTAATTACTTACTAGTCACACTTTACCTAAATTCTCGTATCTACAGTAAATAGGCTCATAGTACATGGGACTGAGGGAGTATTAAAATAACACAGTCATAGGAATTGTTTATTTGTATTTTTTAAAGAAATAATAATAGTATTTTATTGATTAAAAGAATTATGTAAATTTTAATATTAGTGTAAGATTATTTTTTATTTAATATAAAATAAATAATTTTTAGTATGACGGATAAAAATGATAAAAATTATACTTGTAGTTGAGATAGAAAGACTATTAATTCGATTTAGGTAAAATAATATTTGCCTACAAGTTTGATGTTTGATATAAATTTTTTTAGAAAAAAAATACTTATTTCGTCCCATAAATATAGTTTTAATTGGGTTCGACACGAGATTTAAGAAATATTTATACTCCCTCCGTCCCACATACTATATTCACGTTGCAGTTTATGTCCGTCTCACATTCTTTTCTTGGAAAATGATTACACATTTAAATCTCATTTTAATTTTTTTAAAATATTTTTTTAAAATTTTAATTAATATAATTAGTTATCATAATCTTAATTTATAATTATTTATATTATAAGATAATTATTTTTATTAATACATTATTAATTATCTACTAATTACACTACTCCTAAAATACCGTGGCTACGGTGTAGCAGACATGGTATGTGGGACGGAGGGAGTATTACATTGGTAGTTGATAAAAAGTATGGATAAAATACTTTTTTTTTGTCCTTGTGAGTGTATTAGTGTAAAAAATAGTGGCAATTGTGTGATAAAAATAAAAAAGTACGGATAATTTTATGGTGATATAATTATTTATGAAAATAAAACTATTATTCTAGGACGGACAAAAATGATAAATAAGACTATTGTATTGGAATGGACCGAGTATAATAGTAAAAAATAAAAACATAAAGAAAATACATAAGGTTTGTTTGGTTCGCTTCGGGACAAGAGTTGTTTACAATTTTTTCTATTAAAATAAAATATAAAATATTAGTACATCATATCGGATGCATTCAATTTTTTTCTTTTTCCATCTCTCAATAAATAAAAATATTTATACACATTCAAAACTTTTTTTAAAATATCAAATTTAATACCTATCTTTATATTATATTAAATATTATTAATTTTATATTAAAAATATAAAATCGAAGCATATTTATATATAATTAGACAACTATTAAATTCGAAGTTTTATCACTCAAAATTCACACCAAAATAACCTTCAACAAAACAGCATATATTTTTAACATGACATATATATGTAGACACTAAAAATATATGTCTAAAATCAATTAAATATCATGTATTTTGGAAGAAAATAAAATTCCAATAAAATAAATATATGGTATTTAATTATGCACATATGTTAATTTTTGTACAATAAATATCAACCATTAGTGCAAAATCTGCTTAAAATGGAAGATATCGTACAAATATTACGTGCATAAATAGAGCCATAATAAATTTGGCAGCAAAATAAATTAATCTTGTCAATAAAGGAAGTATATAAATTAATATCTTCCAAACAAGGCAATGATATAAAGATCTTGTCAATAAAGGAAGTATATAAATTAATATCTTCCAAAAAAGGCAATGATATAAAGATTTTGACGAGAAAGGAAGGTGCATAATCAAATCCGTCAAAAATGGAAAACGGCATCCGAGGGAAAAGGAAAGATTATAAAATCTTTCCATCCACGTGGCACCATCCGAAAAGGAAGCCAAGGCCACCCTCCCCTATAAATAGGAGCCTTGGCCAATTCATTTAGACACCGAAGTTCATTTGAAGACTCGCGCAAGGGTAAGTCTCTCTAGACTCTCTGCAATGTTCTTCATTGTTCTTCGTGTCCTTCGAAGCGTTCTTCGTCGAAAAGTCACCGATTTGGACAAATGATCCAATATTGGTTGACGAATCAATGAAGTTAACGTTCTTCGTCGTATGTCCGAGCCGGAGGAAGGATCAAATCTCTCAAAGCTATCGAGGAATCCATCAAAGCCAAGGAAGAGCCTCCAAAGTCGCTCCCAAAGCTTGAAGATGTTCGTCGCGTTCTTCATAAAAGGCGCAAACCAGGCCCTCTTCGATCCAAAAGTCAAAGGGACACGCCGCCAAAAGCGTTATGGAGCACTAAATCTCTCCCTCAAAGATCAAATTCCGTCGGATCATCCAAAGGAGGCATCAATCCGAAGCCGACGATCAAAATCGCCAACATGGATACCAAAGTCCTTCAAAAGCCGGCGAAGTCAAACCGAAGACCAAAATCCCTTCGGATCAAAGAAGCCACCCAAATCCAAATTGGAAAAATGGATCGACCCGGAGAGAGAATCAAAGGATCCGAATAGAGAATAGGACCCGCATTAAATTTAAATACAAATATAATTTGTACAAATTTTGTGTTTATAAAAATATAACACAATTTTTTTGTCTACAGATTTTTGGCACGCCCAGTGGGACATCTCTACCTTTCATCTCTCTTTCCGTCGAATTCTCAAACAATCAATGGCTTCCTACAAAATCAAGACTTCCAATGCTGTGTCGAAAGCTGCTGCTCTAGCCGCCACCGCCAAAGGAGTCGCTGCTACTACATCAAGAACCTCAAGTGCTTCAATGAATGCTGGAGTGATGACACGAAGTATGGCTAAAAGAGTACTGTCATTTTCCGAGGATGCACATCCGAAAATCACAGAGCAAAACTCACTCTATGAGGAGGACGAAAGCTTCAAGAGTACCTCCGCACCGGGCACCCCTCAAGAAGTTGCAACTCGTTCGACCGCATCGAGTTATGCCCCGGTGATGACCACGAACGCTTCAAACATAGAAGACCAACTTGTTGCACTGGCCAAAGTTGTTGAAGGGATGTCTCAACACATGCAGCAACAAGACAATGCCATCGCAAAACTGCTTGCAAAATTGGACAAGCCGGAACCAACCAACCAGAATGCTTCGGAGGCCCAAAATGAAGCAGAAACATCCATGGATCAACGCCACGGTAAAGAAAAAATGGCGGGACCAATGCCGTTTCAAACATCATCTGACTCTTTCATCAATCTATCCCAACTTGACGAGTATATCAAAGGAGCTCTCAAAAGGGAGTTTGAAGGAAGTTCAAGGCCAACAAATATGTATGCCAAGCCTTACACTTCAAGGATCGACGCCCTCAAGATGCCGTTGGGATATCAACCACCAAAGTTCCAACAATTTGATGGCAAAGGCAACCCAAAGCAGCATGTGGCACACTTCATGGAAACATGCAACAACGCTGGGACATACGGCGATCTCTTGGTAAAGCAGTTCGTACGGTCATTAAAAGGCAACGCCTTCGACTGGTATATCGACCTGGAGGCTGGTTCCATCGACAGTTGGGAGCAGTTGGAGTACGAGTTCTTGAACCGGTTCTACAGCACAAAAAGGACCGTCAGTATGACAGAACTCACCAATACTCGTCAATGGAAAGATGAACCAGCAATCGACTACATCAACCGCTGGAGGAGTTTGAGCTTGAACTGCAAAGACCGGTTGTCTGAGGCCTCCGGTATAGAGATGTGCGTCCAAGGAATGCACTGGGGGTTGAAATACATCCTGCAAGGGATCCGACCCCACACTTTCGAAGAACTTGCTACCCGCGCTCATGACATGGAGTTAAGTATGGCTTCAAGCGGGATGCACGGACCACCAGTTCAAGAATCTTCAAAAGCAAAAAGAT